GCTCTTGACAGAAACTGCTCTTTTTCAAGGACAGCTCTTATCAGAACTATGGCTTGCCCAAGGTCATCCAGCAGCTGCAAGTGGAGGAGTGGGGGATCAAACCCGGTTCTCAGATTAGAGTCTGCGATCCTAACCACTACACCCCTGTAGAGCTGTGGCCTCGTTTGGAATACTGTCTACAGTTCTGGTCACCATATCCCAGAGAAGAAGAAGAAGATGAAGATGAAGATGATACAACTCCAAGATCTCTCTCCAAGATCTACTACAACTCCAAGAACTCCTTTCCCTCCCCCTCCCCACAACAGACACCCGGTGAGGTAGGCGGGGCTGAGAGAGCTCTTGACAGAAACTGCTCTTTTTCAAGGACAGCTCTTATCAGAACTATGGCTTGCCCAAGGTCATCCAGCAGCTGCAAGTGGAGGAGTGGGGGATCAAACCCGGTTCTCAGATTAGAGTCTGCGATCCTAACCACTACACCCCTGTAGAGCTGTGGCCTCGTTTGGAATACTGTCTACAGTTCTGGTCACCATATCCCAGAGAAGAAGAAGAAGATGAAGATGAAGATGAAGAAGAAGAAGAAGAAGAAGAAGAAGAAGAAGAAGAAGAAGAAGAAGAAGAAGAAGAGATTGGATTTATACCCTGCCCTTCACTACCCAAAGGTGTCTCAGAGCGACTGAAAATCTCCTTTCCCTCCCCCTCCCCACAACAGACACCCTGTGAGGTGGGTGGGGCTGAGAGAGCTCTTGACAGAAACTTCCCTTTTTCAAGAACAGCTCTGACAGAACTATGGCTTGCCCAAGGTCATCCAGCAGCTGCAAGTGGGGAATCAAACCCGGTTCTCCCAGATTAGAGTCCGCGCACTTAACCACTACACCAAACTGGCTCTCAGGACATTGCAGAGCTGGAAAAAGTACAGAGGGGGGCAACCAAGTTGATGAGGAGGTTGGAGCCCCTTCCCTGTGAGGAAAGGCTGGAGAGTCTCTGGGACTTTTCCGTTTAGAAAAGAGACGACTAAGGGAGGCCGTGACAGAGGTTTATAAGATTATGTACAGGGTGGAGAGAGTGGACAAAGGAAAAAAAAAATCCCTCTACCAAAAGACTAGAACTTGAGGGTGTTCAATGCAGCTGATGGGCAGTAGGTTCAGGACAGAAAAAAGGAAATACCACTTTACACAGGGAGTGATTAAAATGTGGAATTTGCTGGCAGAGGATGTTGTGATGGCCTCAGGAATAAACGGCTTTAAAAGGGGATTAGATA